TTAAAAACAATGAGGGTGCATTTTGTATGGGATCTAACCGAGAAAGTTTTGTTATCGAACATTTTCCTTTAGATCCTGGAAAAATAAAACTTTATTGTCTTTAAAAATTATGTAAATAGATAGAGCTTTAAAGGACGAACATTTTAATACCAATATTGAATCATAGCATGCCGAAATTTTTTTTGACCACCAATTCCAATGTTGATGATGGGTTTCCGACAACCTATTCCAACGACTGTGTTATTCAAGATGTTTAAGTTTTTTTAAAAATAAATTTTAGAGTTCATTATATTTTTATAAAAGTTTATTTGTATTATGTATAAGGGTATACAATATTGATAGACTCTTATTTTCATTCTTCATCTTGAGTTGATGAATCTTGGAGATGTTATAAGGGAGACAACTTAGCATCCCAGCAAACCAAACTAAAACGACAGCGTTTTCTATTCTTCTAAGGAGTGAGTATGGTTCATTGAAAGTTCTTAAACTATGAAGAATTATATTGATGATTTTCCAGATGCATATCACTTTTGATGATTAAACATTTTGCAAATGCAGCAAAGACCTCCTTCATCTTACCACTAGTTGCTCCTGTTGAAACTGGAAACCAAACACGTCACAATAAAGTATAAAATAAAGACATAACACAATAGTTTACCCTGGTTTCGTTCCAATTAAGGAACTACATCCAGCATTCAAACAAGAATTTTATTGAGTATCAGAACTCTACACAATTACAATAGTAGCCCACTCTCACTCTCTATTCTCTCTTTAAGTTTTTCATTATTACAGAAATACATAATAGAAACCTAACCCCATTTAGGCTTACTCGAATCTAACCCGACCCAGACCCAAATATTAGTAAACTAATTTTGGCTTACCGTAAAGGGGGCAACCGAATCAATATATAACTGAACATGCATAATGATATCATTGAATCAGTTTCCTATAAGATTCATATTCGAACTAATGAATCAAGTTGAACTTATATCAAAAAAAGGAAGAACTAATTTCTTGTTTATATTAATCTAATCATTTAATTAGCCTAATAAAAAACACATATCTCACATTAGTTATAAACTATAATATCTTATGTGACAAGCCAGAATGCATGCATGCATGCTTAATACGAAAAACCTGTTTCTTGGAAGCTTTCTTCTTTCGTTTATCTGATCATCTCTTCTGCAACTCTTTCTGCTTCTCTTCATCTTTCTTGATAATATAGATTTTAAATGAAAGAAGTCTGGAATTGTGAATTACTAATAAGGAGAGAGGATCAAAATTTGAATCTTTAATTTAATGGGAACAATAATTAATCAAGATTTAAAGAAAAGATTCAAAGCATTAACTTAAAGGACTCTAGGATACGCATTGTCGAGAAGAATGCCCAGATTAACATTAACATTAACGATTAATTACACTAATACAAGATTCTATTCTATATGAGAAGCCATTAATATTAAATCAAGAGAACAAGCTAATTATAAACTATAATATGTTTTTTGAAAAGCCAGAATGCATGATGCATGCATGCTTAATCCGAACTGAAATATGAAAATCAATCACGGAAAACCTTTTTCTTGGAAGCTCTCTTCTTTCGTTTCTCGGTCCCTCTCTGGCTTCGTTTCTTCTTCTACTTCTTCTTCTTATTCATCTTCTTTAATTCTTTATCAAGAAGAAGAAGAGAAGGAAGAAGAAGAGAAGAAGAAAGGTTGCAGAAGAGATAAAAATAAACCTGATTCATTATACAAGAATAGCTGAAACTTGTGAACCTGAATTTATAAGCTTTCGTGGAACCGCCATGCAGCAAACAACAGACTGTGGGGTAAACGACATGTCGTTTTGCTTTGCAAGTTTTGTGTTTCATGTTTCTTTTCATCCTTAATTTTGTCATAATAAATTTAATCCCCTTTATAATTTTAGAAATCATTAAAATCTCACTATATTTGTTGCAATATTAATCAATCACTGTAATTTAAATAATATTTTAAGAGAAACCCCTCATATCACTTTAAGTAAGGGTAGTATTATAGTTTTAAATTAAAATTATAAATATAAAAAAAAAAAATTATAAGCCATTGTACTTTTTGATCTTCTAACTACTCTTTTTTTCTAATATTTAAATTTTACAATAACTAATTTTAGCTACTGAAACCCAAAACTTTATTTGAGGGAAGAGTACACTTTCACATGATAATAATATACTTTATTCAAATATAAAGTATAGGGCCATATAATAAGTAAAATTCATCATTCAAGCAACCAATTAAATTAAAATTCCTAAATGTCAATTTATTTTAGGTCGCAGGGTCCGGGGGAAGAATAGGAAAAATGATTTTATTATATTTCTACCCAGACACTGACCCTATCTCAATTTTTTTGTTTTTTTTAGTGCGACGATAGTTTTGAAAAGACAGATTGCCTACCTTGGTGGGACAGACCTAATTCAAACCCCTTCAGTAAAATTAGAACGACCTCTACCTTCAAAGTCTCTCTTTTACCATTTGCAATAACTTGTTTCAGTTGCTTACCCTTGGATAGCCGAATGGTTAGACAAGGACTCTTGAGAGTATATTATTCAATAGATCATAAGTTTGAGTCACCTCGGTTGTTAATAGAAATGGTCACTAAAAGGTATATCCGGTCGTTAACTTCAGGGTCCCATAAGATTACTCGAGGTATATGTAAACTAACCCGAACATCTCCAATCATTAATTAAAACTTGTTTCAGTTGCATATCATAAGAAATTCTAACAACCGCTTTAAATCCAATATCAAGTATATCATGTGGAAGTTCAATATCGTAAGAAATTCTCAAGAGAACGTTACTTAATTCTTAATATACTCTAAATATGGTTGCCATGTGGAAGGGTATATACATTATTGTCTATTGAAATATTGTATTCAATGTCAATGCTAGAAAATTTCAAATATTTTATAAGGGAGTAACGTTACCTCTCAACACTGTAACATAATATTATACTAAACCATATAAAAAAAATTGATCACATCATGATATTGTAATTTGGTAGATCATGATGATGAAATTCATAGATCATTATTTCTTAATTTAGTTTAATTAAAATATAATTTGAATGGCAATTAAAGTCTACGCGTTATTGTATTACAGTTAAGTGCATGCATCGAGATTTCTTCATCTGATTTGACCGGACTATTTTAATCAATTCCCCAATCCAACGGTTCTCCTCGCGTCATGCTTTTGTATTAATGATGTCATTATTCAAAACTCCCTACGCCCACATCATCATGGGCCCATACCAAAGCCCATGGCCCACCCACGAAGCCCAAAATTATTATTATGTAATTAACTAACAATAATCATTTTATGCTATCAAACATAATCATGTGTTACTATCAATTAGGTGACCTCTAATTAATTATTATTAGATTAATTTTTTAACGTAATAATTAATTATTTAAATTTAAAGTTGGAAATCGTTATCGCACAACGCGCATTTTCAACTGTAATCAAATACAGATGAAAAAAATTGACAATCTTTCTTAATATCAATATTAATGTTTCCATTATTTTTCAAAGAGTGATAGATAACGATCCATGGTTTTAGATATTTAGCGTTGTCTTAATTAATCGTCGTTCTATTTAATGTGATTGTAAAAGATATTATAAAATAGAAATAATTTTTAGAAAATTCAAAGCATACCCTAGATTTTGAAGAAGTTTCAAATTACAATGAGAAAGTGGTTAACAAGTAAGAAGAGATTTAGGGATTTATGATGATGAAAAAGGTAAACTTGAAGCAAGACTTGGACCAAAAGGGCATAAGTGAATAAAAGTCAAAGTTTTGTAACCAAATGTAAAGCCGACATCCAATCATAGTATATGTGGCCCAAGAAATCAGACATAGGCCCCACTAAATTCTTTCCCCCACTTCACTAGATCATGCATCATCGTCCCTTCACCCTTGTGTCATTCAAAATATTTTCAATTTTAAACCTAATTTTACGTTAAGTCAAGGTTTATGACCTTCGCACGAACACTTCGACTAATTTTTGAAAAAAACTAGTGTAATAACCAACTTTCATAGTCCCTTGTTTAAGTCTTAAGATCCAAAGAGATTCGAATATGATACTCTATGTCTGAACAACATATCTTAACGTTCATTCTACCATTTGAACTATTCAAAGGTGGATCACATCAAAATTAGTGACTTGACTTTTGATAAAAAATTGGTTGAGTAAACGATTTTTTTTCCATTCAAATAATGATTTAATGACACTTTTTTACCTGTAAATACCATTTTAATATCCAAATTCATATTTTATTTCTGATTACGATATCGTTGCAATCTCATACCACCATTATTCTTTTCATTTTCTGATCATCACTCACTAAAACCTCTCAAACCCTATTCTTATTGATCCGACAAATTATTGGCAATCAAGCAATTAGGGTTTACACAATCGTCCTTCTCAAATCAAATTCTAATTAATTTCAACCATAAAAATCTAACATTCCACCATCAAAAGACTTATCGACCTCCTCTCTTCACAAGTTCCAATAATTTAAATCGAGTTTGCTTTCAGTTTATCGCTGAAATATAAATTTAGATAATAAAAGGATATTTTAAAAATTTATAGATAAGAAAATATCATTAAAATATTATTTGGGTAAGAAAAAGTCTTTAAATCGATTACTTAATTGACACAAATTTTTGAATAGGAGACGCATCATTTAAGATGACGAATTTAATGTAACAGATGTGATGCTATCGCTAGAAAGTGATTATGGGATAACATATATCTTGATTTGCCACGTGGCAATCACGCAACGGTCAAGATTCTAAAGGCTGAACGCACATCATAAAAACGTTATGCTGACATAATATAGACATATGATTTATTTATGAAGCTTCGAATAAACAAAGGCAAAAAAAGAACTGTTCCAGTGTCGCTTAAGGTTAAGGAAGCTCCCATGTGGGTCTTATATTGGCCGCCAAACAATTTTCACTTTGACCCCAACTGTTTTCAATAGAAATCTTCATCTTTTTCTTCAACTTTCTCTCTATAAATACCTGCGAATATCTCGCTCATTTTCCACAGTTTCTTATCCCAAACCAAAAATGCCTGAGATAGACAATTCTTTTGCTGTTAAAGAACCCCGCTCGGTGGTCAGAAAGTTCTTGGCCAGGCCCCAACATGAAGGCCTCGGTGCCATTGTGAGAAGAAGCATCGGAAGGTGATCATTAAAGAATGATTAATTTAATTAAAGAAATGGAAATTTGAAGAGTTTTAGATGTTTTTCTAACTGGGTTTCATTGGTTTTCCAGGTTTGAGTTGCGTTACTTTGATCCTTTTCTTGTTTTGGATGAATTCTCAGGTGGGTTCCTCTGTTTTTTTCTTTTTCTTTTTTCTGCTCTGTTTCTTCATGAAATGTAATGGCTTAATATTATTTTGTTTTTGAATATTATGCAGTCACTGCTCCTGCTGGATTTCCAGATCATCCACATAGAGGTTTAGTTTTGTTTGGTTTTGTATTTTCCTGAGAAAATTCACCCTTTTCATCCACAATTCTGGTGATTCTGATTGTTCTGTTCTCTTTAACAGGATTTGAAACAGTGACATACATGTTACAGGTAACTTTCTACTATTAAAAAATAAGCTAAAAGATAATAACTATTTATTATAATATATTCTGTAAACAGTATAGTTGTTTGTTGAATAATAATAATAATATAATAAAGTTAGTTAATCAGTCAATTAGGTAATCAAGACTCATTGGTTAGCTTCAAAATAACACATTGATAACATGGTGCCATAAAGTCAGCCTACCATGCCAGCTATGGCAGGCACAAAATGCCACAATTATATGCAATTTAGACCAGGGAATTGCCAGGTTGTTGAAGGGAAAGTTGAAAGCCCAACATAATAATAATAATAATAATGCCACCAAAGACTACTTCTGTCTTTAATTTGAATGTTGAGTGTGAACTCAACCTTCTACCGTATACTTACTGTGCATAGTACAAGTTTTACGTTTTTAGTTTTCAAGTTTCGTCACGTAATGAGTTTACACGTTGAATGTAAATCCCGCGTATGTTAGGAGTAATTGCACTAGATCTTGAGTGAAGATTGATTTGATTGATTGAGTTAACAGGATGATAACTTTGTGCTGTCAGGGAGCTGTTACTCATGAAGATTTTGAAGGCCACAAAGGGACCATAGGAGCTGGTGACCTGCAATGGATGACTGCAGGGAGAGGGATTGTTCACTCGGAAATGCCTGCAGCACAAGGCACCCAAAAGGGCTTACAATTGTGGATAAACCTCTCTTCAAAACATAAAATGTAAGTGTTTAAAAAAATCAAGGCAAAAGCCATAGTGATGTTGGAAGTAGTTTTGGGTTAGAATATGCTTATCGTTTTATGTCTTTATGCAGGATTGAACCAAGGTACCAGGAAATCTTGAGTAAGGACATTGCAGAAGTTGCAAAAGATGGCATAAAAGTTAGGGTTATAGCAGGAGAGGCCTTGGGGACAAAATCACCAGTCTACACAAGAACACCAACAATGTACTTGGATTTCACTCTAAAACCAGGAGCTCATCTTCAACAACCAATACCGAAATCCTGGAACGCGTTTGTATACGTCTTGGAAGGCGACGGTATCTTCTCGAGCACAAAATCTTCACCGGTATCAGCACATCACTTGCTTCTGCTAGGATCTGGGGATGGCTTGGAGGCATGGAACAAGTCCTCTAAGCCCCTCAGGTTTATTCTAGTAGGAGGGGAACCATTAGGTGAACCTTTAGTGCAATTTGGGCCATTTGTTATGAACACACAAGAAGAGATTGACCAAACCATTGATGATTTTGACAACTATGTTAATGGATTCGAGAAAGCTAGGCATTGGAGATCAGAAGCTGCAATTAGCCTTGATTTTTAGATCATGTTTTAGGGAGAACTTATTGGTTCTTTATCAAAGTAGGTAATAAAAAAATCACCAATCTCTCTTGTATATTTTAGTTTAAAGATTAGACAAAGGAATTGACATCTATTTGATGGGTTCCTTTCGCAAGCTCGCATTAATCTCATTACTACTTTTTGGTAAAAGCTAAGTTACATTTGTATCTTTAAATTTTTTACAATATTTCTTGTATCTCTTATTTTCGGCAATAAAAAAATCATGTAATACTTTTTAAAATCGCTGTCTTGTTAGGTAAGTAATGAATCTAATAAAGTACTAGCCGGTTGAAATTATTCAAATATGCCAAAAATTTCTCGGTTTGGTACACTATTTTTCAGTATCCTATTCCCTATTCCATTCAAAATATATATTTATTCCCTTGTTCTCAAAATATTATTTAATTTTTTTTAAATCTCCTAAGTTTATTAATTTAACTAAAAACCCCAATTTTTTTTTTTTAAAGAAATTGACAGAACACCCCAGCAACCTAAATTTGCCAAATTCCGGCTACCACCGCCTGAATCTGGCCGATAGTATGTTAATCTAGCATTTTTCGGCCAGATCCACAATGAATCTAGCCGAAAAATGTCAGATCTACTACCAAATATCTGACTGTTGATGACTAGATCTTTGGCTATAGCCAGTCGTTAACAACGGTCATATCTTTAGCCGTTGTTGACCATCAACGATGGCCATATCTTTGGTCATCGTTGACGATTAAATGCGGCCAGATCTGGCCGTCAATGGCCAGATGGCCAGATCTAGCTGTAGATCTAGTAAAAAAAGTCCATATCAGAGCGCGACCGGTCAGATCCAGCCGGTCTTGTGCCAATACGACGACTTCAGCTATCCTCCGACAGTGATGGCCAGCTGTCGGTATTTAATGGGTGGGTTGTGGGTGTTTTTTTTTATTAATTTTCAATATTTTATTATAGGGTTGTTTAGTAAATAAACAAACATATGAGATATTTTTATTAATTTTTAAATCCTACGTCGTAATACTCACCCAAATTTATTTTTTTCAAAATATTATTCTAAAAAGTATCATAATATGATTATTTAGATAATAATATGGTATGCGTTTGGTTTAATATTTTTATTCCTATTCTGGATCCTATTCTCCAAATAGCGTTTGGTACAATATTCTCAAAATATTACCCTATTTTTTTAATTACATTTTAACCCCATAAGGTTATTAATTTTACNGTAAGATTCCGATGGTGGATGTTGACAGAGACCAAGTTCGTCATTTTGATTGAATTCGAATTAAATTGTTTTTGTTTTTGCTGAGATTGTTTTCTGTTTTTGCACAAACCCCCAGCCTTTTTCACATCAAAGAAAATTTGGCTAGACACTCTTCGTGGGATCGACCCTTGCTTACCCTATTTACAGTTCAGTAGTTAGGTTCGGAAGGTTTTAATTCTGGGTGCCTACAACAGCATGCCAGTAGACGATATGGACCCTACAGCGACTAGATCGGATGAGGGGACAAGCTCGCAGGCGCAGGACACCTCAGTGGGTCATGCGCAAGAGATTCTGTCGGTAGCTACCCGAGACAAAATACAGGAGGCAGTAGACCAATATGCAATTAGCATGGACGTCTACCGATACCGGAGGCATACAGCTCAGAATCCGCCAGAGGGAATGGCTGCGATCTCCGAAGCTATATTCAAGTGCGGAGCACTGATTCCCTTCCATCCCTTTATTAGGTCGATCCTTGATCACTTCGGGGTCGCACCTTTACAACTGACGTCTAACGCGTATATAATAGTTGTGGCTATGTATATTGCATGCGTCAAGTACGGCCTCCGCCAACCGACTACGCTAGAGCTCGCTTGCTTGTACTATTTAAAGAAGAGCAAGGACAAAGATTTTTACTACCTCTCGAGGCGACCCAAGATTGAGGGAGGCATTCACAATTACCCTAGTAATGTCGGGGCATATGAGACCAAGTTTTACTTTTTTCATTATGATGGCATCTGCCACTTTAGGGAGCCGAGTAGGTTTTCCCTTTATTATACTCGGTGAATTTTTCTTTTCTTTTTGGCTTTGCTTTCTAACGATCTCTCTTGTCTCTTCGCAGGGAACAAGTTGACCAGGCTGACAGATCTTTCTGACCTCAGCCAAATAGTTTCATTCGGTACCCTGCCAGATTACTGTCACGACGTGAAGCGACTCGTGACAACTGCGAACTTGACGAAGTATGGCTTCTTCAGCCCTGAAACGACCTTGGAACCCCTACCTCATAAGTATCCACAGTCTTTTTAGATTTTGCTTTTGCATGCAGCGAACCTTTTACTAACAGTGCCTATATGCAACAAACATGCCGCCCAGAGTGCCAAAATCATTGAGAGAGAGAGCGTTCATTTTTCCCTGGGTCGGTGCCATGGGACCAGCCGAGACGGGCCCTAGTGACATCCCTACCGAAGGAACGCAGGTAGGGGTGCAGCCACCCACTGAACAACCAGTCAAAACCGCTCAGCCCATAGCTGCTCGCTCAAAGTAGAAAACCATGGGCCAGAAGGCCAAGAAAAGAAGGGTGCTGCAGCCCGAAGAGTTAGAGTCTGAGCCGAAGGGCTTGCTTGAGAGGCCGCGGCATGCGACAGGGGTTACAATTCTTCCGAGCTGTTTGTGCAGAGGACAGACTATTACCCCCGAGAGGAGAGAAGGCAAGGAGCCCGCTAGCAAGGTGCCCTCGACTGTAGGAGCTGACACCCCGGTGTTGGACTCCATGGGTCATCTTTCGGAGCACCTGCAATCGGTGGTGTTCACCCTTTTGGAGTGCCAGCTTGCCAAATTTTTTGAAGAGCTCGTGGCCTCCAATCCTATGGACTTGATGATCAGGGCGGTCCAACTGCAAAGCCAGGTAAAACGGTTTGTTCTCGTCGAGGACTTTCCAATACTTACTCTTTTTCAAGGAGACAGTCTAACACTTGCTTATTTCTTGTGCAATCTTTGCTCGCCCTGCACCTGGCCCAATAAAAGACCCAACTGGAAGCTGCCGGGGGACTCTTCAAGCTAAAGGAAGAGAATGCGCAGCTGAAACAGGATTTGGCAACTGCGAAAGAAGAGTTGGACCTAAACATCATCCAGATAAATCAATACATGTCGAGAGGAACTCTGCTCTCCACACGGTGGAATTCCAGAAGACTGAACTGGAGAGGAAGGGAGAGGAGCTTAAACAGCTTCAAATGATGGTAGTCAGGCTCACCAGAGAGGCTGGCAAGAAAGAGGCGGAGCTGCGAGCGAACTTTGAGCGGGCCTTGTGGGTGGAAGAAGAGAGAACTCGGTTGTGGGAGACTTCCGAGAAGCAGAAGAAAGCTCTTGAAGTAGACCTGGAAATGTCCTAGGGGCGGGTCATTTCTTTAACTAAAGAGATGAAACGACAAGAGTTGGAGATCGAGAAAAAAGCTATTGACTAGTTGATCCAGTCAATTTATGCCCTTAGGCCAAAAAACCCAACCATAGACCTTACCGACCTCCCTGATGATTACTAGAGGATCCTTGCCTCTATTGCACAAGCCGATAATGAGACAGATCAAGGACTTTATCCGGAAGACGATCATCCAAAGGAGTATGTTCCGAAGGACCCAACAGCTGACCAGGAGGTCGGCGACCATCCTGGAGATACCGGGGTCGCACCGGAAGGGCCTAAGGACGAAGACTAATGATCGCTTCTGCCTCTACTTTTCCCATAACTTTGCTTAACTGTCTTTGCATAGTCCCATGTACTAAATGATTTATGAATGAATTTGATAGCTTTTCAAATTATTTGTGAGCACTTATAATTTTTCGCACTTCACAAACATTACACATGCGAACAGGAGGACGCGCTCTAACTATTTGCGATATTAAATTATTTGTGAGTACTTATAATTTTTCATACTTCACAAACATTATATATGTGAACAGAAAGATAAGAACGATGCAAGTAACAAAATCACATTTATACAAGATGAATTTGACTTAACAGCGATCTTAATTATGAAAGTTTCACAAGGGAATCTTTACAAGGAAAGAGCGAGTTCGGAATTACTAATAATAAGGGCGAAGATGCTCAGCATTCCAAGCTCGCGGTACTTTAGAACCATTAAGCGTTTTGAGGTGATAAGTCCCCGGCGTATCACTTTAGCGATACAGTAGGGGCCTTCCCAGTTTGGTCCCAATACTCTCGCGCTTGGTTCCCTTGTACCTAGAAGAACTTCTTTTAGAACCAGATCACCAACCTGAAAGTCTCTTCTCCTAACTTTAGAGTCGAAGAATCTCTTCGCACGCTGCTGGTAGGCTGTTATCCTTGACCGAGCTTTGCCATAGTGTTCTTAAACTAAGTCCAGACTTGCACGCAAAAGTGCTTCAGTGTCTGTTTCATTGAACAAGTCTTTCTGAAGTGAACCAGTCCCCACTTCCATTGGGACCATTGCCTCATAATCATATGCTAGCGAGAAGGGTGTTTCTAAAGTAGAGGTTCTCAAAGTTGTCCTGTATGCTTATAGGACTTCTGGGAGGTCGTCGACCCAATTTCCCTTGGCAGCGTCAAGCTTAGCTTTCAAAGTATGCTTGATGGTCTTGTTGACAGCTTCAACCTGGCCATTGGCTTGCGGTCTTGCGACTAAGACAAACTTTTTATGAATCCCCAACTCATCACAAAACTGCTTGAATTCCTTGTTGTCGAACTGCTTTCCGTTATCAGAGATGAGTGTATGAGGAATTCCATAATGGCACACTATATTTCTGAAGACGAAGTCCTTGAGTTTCTTGGTGGTGATCGGGGCCAATGGCTCAGCTTCAACCCATTTGATGAAATAATCCATCGCGACCACATCATACTTGACTCCTCCCTTTCCAGCTGGCATAGGTCCGATAAGATCAATCCCCTACATGGAGAATGGCCAGGGGCTGGTCATAGTTATCAGGTGGTGGGAAGGAGCTCGCAGTATGTTTGTGAACCGTTAACACTTGTCACACTTTTTTTACAAAGTTGAATGTATCTTAATGAAATAAGGGCCATTAGTACCCTTGACGAACAACTTTGTTGGCGAGAGATCGCACGGCAGTGTGATTACCACAGATCCCTTCATGTATCTCTCTTATGATATAGTCTGCTTCCTCATCAGTTACACATCAGAGGAGAGGGGTGCTAAACCCT